AGATGGTGATTGTCCAGGTGGGTGGGGACTGGGGTGGATAATCCACCAGGTGCCTCTGGGTGGGGCAAGGCAGAGCAGGGACTAGGGGTGGTGATGGAGCAGCTGGGCGTTGGCGACAGCACTGGGGGCTGGTCCTCCTAGCGGATCTGCTCGGGCCTGGCTGGGTGCCTGTGTCTTGTCCAGATGGGCAGAGGGTGCTGGAAGAGCCTGTGCCCTCCAGTGCCTTCCCAGGCTGGCGTGTCTGTGTACCAATCCCTTCCTCACTAGCTGAGCAACACAGCCAGGCTGGGGGTCTAGGCCACTGGCCAGTTTGGCCAATCAGGCCCTCTGCCCTCTGGGTGGTCCCCAGGGCAAGGCCTGTATCTCTGACTGCAAGCCTGTGCTGTGCCTCTTTGGTAGGTCTTTGGAGTGCTGGAGTCCCCAGAGCTGTCCCGGGTTCCCTCAGCCACCTTCCGCCCTGTCATCAGAGATGACAAAGAGGAGGTGGCCGATGGGGGTGTGGCCCAGCGACTAGCTCTGCTACAGGAGTTTGCATTCAGGCCAGGAGGCATGGCCCCACAGACAGAGCAGCAGGTATGGCCGCGGCAGGGTTGACTCCCGTAGATGGTCACCTCACAGTTCCACGCGCCTCTGTGAGCAGCAGGGCAGGTGTTTGGTTGTGTGCCCTGCCCCTTCCTGTAGCCTCTCCCTATCAGGCTCTCACCCCACCCCTTCCTGTTAGCCCCACCCCTCCTGTCACCCTGCCCCTTCCTGTCAGCCCCGCCCTCTCCTGTCAGCCCCGCCCCTTCCTGTCAGCCTCTCCTTGTGGGCTCACTTTGGCTTGTTAAGGACCCTCCTGCCCTTTCCTCTGCAGGGCCTGCCAGGCCCCGGCTCCCCTGGGGCTCAGAAGTGGGTGTCCCGCTGGGCCAGCCTGGCTGACAGCTACTCGGACCCAGGCCTGGCAGGTGAGTGGTCCCTTGCTGCAGTGGGTGGGGCATGAGGATCCCGGTGGGCCCACCGTCTGTTTGTTCTCCATCTCTGTGCACACGCTCAGTGCTTCCCCATTGCCTTGATGGGCTGCGATTTCATCTTTGCAGAGAACAGCACTAGCTGCCGGGCTATGGAGCCTGAGGTGGCTTTACCCTCACGCACACGGCGTCTGCTTCCCCAGCTGCCCAGCGAGCGGGCGGACAGCCCTGCTGGCCCTGAGGCCACCAGGAAGGCTGGCCCTGGGCAGCCGGAGCCTGGTAGTCAGCAGGTCAGCCCGCTCTTTGTCCAGGAGGACCTGGACCCTGACAGCCTCAGTGATGCCAGTGGGTCGGATGGCGGGTGGAGCCCCAAGCTGGGCAGAGGGCAGCCACCTGAGAGACACAGGAGCCCTGAGGAGGTGCCAGCCTGGACAAGGAGCAGGGGCTCGCCCTGGACCCCGGGGGAGCCGGCCCCCACCTCATTCTTCATCGGGGACCAGAACAGGGAGGCTGTCGTCTCCAGGAAGCCATCCGTGACCACTGGGGGGGCAGAGGGCCCAGGGCAGACAGCTCCACAGCAGGCAGCCCCCCCTGGCACACAGACGAGGGACGGTGTCTATGTCAGCACCAGTGGGCGCATGGTCATTCAGCTTTGCTCTGGGCGGTCTTTGGAGTCTGGGGGCCCTGTCCCAGCCCCGCCCAAAGAGGGCCTGGCATTTGTCCGGCAGGAGAGCTTCACCAAGGAGCCAGCCAGCGGCCCCCCGGCCCCTGGCAAGCTGCCAAACATCCCCAGCCACCCCCTGCTCCAGGACCTGGCTGCGGCCCGGGCTGCCCGTTCAGACCTGCACTCCCAGGACACCCACCTCATCCTGAAGGAGACTGAGACAGCACTGGCAGTGCTGGAGGCCCAGCTGCTGTCCAAGTCTGTGGAGGCACAGGGCGAAGGGGGCAGCCTCCCTCGGCCGCCAGAGGACTCCCTGTCTGGGGATTCGGACGCAGACACGGCTAGCATGACCAGCCCGACGACCCCACAGCCCAAGGGGCCGCAGAAGGACAAGCCGCTGGCCGCACAGGACCTGGCGGGCTCCGCCCTTAGTAGTGCCCGTGGGCGGCTCTCGGAGAAGCAGCATCGCCCACTAGGCCCAGTGGACCCTGGCCGCACAGAGCTGGCACGGCCTCTGACCACGAGGCGTGGGCACGGGCCCCGAGCGTCCCTGGACTGGCCAGACGAGGAGCGTGGCTCTAGCCCCACCCACCTGCCCATCTCGGACGCTGTTGCCTCTGACCATGAGACACCCGTGTGCACCAGGGCGGGACGGCCAGGCCCTCGACGGAGGCCGCCAGCCCCACCACCGTCCCCAGCCACCCGGGAGGAGCAGGGCCGAGGCTCCAGCAGCTCCCAGAAGGTGCAGCAGGCACTGAGCCGCTCCAACAGCCTGTCCACCCCTCGGCCCACGCGGGCGTCCCGGCTCAGGCGAGCTCGGCTGGGCGACACCTCTGACACAGAGGCTGCTGACGGCGAGCGGGGCGCCCTGGGCACCCCTGAGCCCGCAGGCCGGCCAGCTGCTGAGCAGACCAAGAAGCTGTCGAGACTGGACGTCCTGGCCATGCCTCGGAAGCGGGCCGGCTCCTTCACGGGCACCAGTGACGCTGAGGCCGCTCCCGCTCGCTCTGGTTTCTCTGGCCGAAGTGTCGACTTGTACTGTACCAGCCGCAAGCCCACCATGGCCGAGGCGCGGGCCGCAGCCAGGAAGGCTGCCAGTACTGCTGCCTCTTCCACAGCCTCCCGCCAGCCCTTCAGCAGGGCCCGCCCGGGCAGTGCCCGCTACCCGTCCTCCAGTGAGTGCAGGGCCCGGGGGCGGGCGAGTGGGGCCCCCAGACCCTTTCCAGATCCTATAGACTCCTTTCGAGATCCCGGACCCGCCAGGTAGTGGGTCTGTGCAAGGTCCTGAGTGTCAGCCGGGCACCAGGCCCTGGGTCTCTGATCCCCTGGTCCAAAGGCTGGTGGGGGCATGTACCTGGCCCCCACACAAGCAGCCTGAGCTGCTTGGAACCCCCAGGACCTCTGGTGGAGAGGGAGGGCAGGAAGCCGGACACCTCAAAACAGGGCCTCCTCCTCACATCTCCCGAGACCTGGGGGTGTGGATCAGGGACTCCGGAGACTTGGTTGGTCTGCCTGCCTTCCTGTCAGTACAGTCCCGACCCCAGGCTTCTGAGGGGCACGTGAAGCCCCAGACCACCACTGTGGGAGGGATTTCCAGGCTGGGCGGGTTCCCCATGGTTCTCACTCCCTGAGCTGCCGTGGCTGTGTTGCTTAGGTGTTTAGAGGACGCCTGTGCCACGCGCCCAGGGCCTGCAGACACCCTCTGAGCCTGCAGAACCGGGGAAGCCTCTCACTGGCTGATTGGGTTGCAGGCTGGTGTGCCCACTGTGGGGCTCTGTCTCCTTCCTGCGGCCCCAGCCACGCCCTCACTCTCTGCATCATCTCCCTGAAACTAACAGCCTCTCCCCAGGCACTGCCACCGGCGGCCGCCTGATCACCTTTGCACTTGGGCATGGGGCTGCTACCTATGGGCGAGGGGGGCCAAGGGGCAGGTGGTCTTGGGGCCTAAGGAGGCCCCTGCCGGGCAGATATTCCTTGTGCTCACAGGTGCCGGCAGGCACTGTCCAGGTGCTGTTGCCCGGTGCACACTGGCAGGGTAGGGAGGAGGGGCCGGGTGCCCTGCCCGCAGTGGCTGTGCCAGGCTGGGGGCTGGCTGCCTGGGCGGTGAGCTGAGCGCTGCTTGCCTGTGCTGAGGGCCCATGCTTTGCTGCCCCCTGCCAGCCGCAGCTGGTGTCATTGCGGCCTGGTGCTGCTGGCTCCTGCGTGGGGTGCTCTGGCTGTGGAGGCCATGTACGGAGGGCTGTGTGGGTGCCTGGCAATGTTTCCAGTGTGGATAAGGGTGCTATTGTGCTGTGTCTGCTTCTGAAACCAATTCATTCACCAAGACACGCGCCGCCGGCAGCCGGGCTCGGATTATACGTCCACCTCCGAGGAGGAGTGCAGCTCCCCCAAACACACCCGCCCCCACGTCTCAACAGCCACGCAGACCCCGCGGGCCGGTGGCTCCAACCATCCCCGGCCCCGGGCTCCTGGGCCGCGGGCCCCGGACGACCCTGAGGAGGAGGCTGACCCCTATGGCTTCATCGTGCAGACAGCAGAGATTGCGGAGATCGCCAGGTAAAGGGCCCCAGGGTGCACGTGGACGTACCTGGGTCCCCAGGGTGCACACAGACATAGCCGGGGTTCCAGATGCATACGGAGGTACCCAGGGCCCTGGGGTGCACGTGGAACAATCCAGGGTCTTTGAGACCTGACTGGGGGGGTCCTGGCCCAGACCGGAGCTGTTGCGTAAACAAGTGAGTGAGTGAGTGAGTGAGTGCATGACTGTAGACCAGCCCGGGGGGAGGGGGGGAGGGGCGGATTTCTGTAGAACAGGGCCCCCACCAAGTTTTTTTTTTTTTTGTTTTGTATTTTTGAAAGCTTTTTTTTTTTATTAGGATTTGGGTGAAGATTTACAGAGTAAATTCACTTTTCATACAGCAGTTCACATATACTTTGTCTCATGTCATTG